AAGGGTTCCCAGAAGGTGTTATGTCAATGATGTGTCTTTTATCATGTAGTTGAATCTATATTCATATTTTTATTTTATCTTGTAATGAAATTGATTTTTTAACCATAAATTTCTATTATTTTAATAAACATTTAGTGAAATGGGAAATCTGTTAATTTTATCTGTGTATCACGTCAGACTTGTACAGTTGGTTCTTTTTAAATACTCATTCAAGTTGATTTTCTTGAGGCAGTTTTATTGCTAGGTGATATGGCCCCTATAGGGTTGGATCTCGAATTGAGCCTGTTATGAAAGGACAGGCTAGCACGTATGAGAGCACTTCATTTGGGTGGAGGTGGACTGAGTAATAGTATGGGGATTAAACAATATTCAATATTAGCGCGATCTTCAAGATAACTATTGTCATATGTTTTCTCTAATATTCACGTGGAACGCATCTCGTGGTGAACAAAACAGAATTTTACTTCATGCAGAATAACAATATTGATTTCTAAGTGATACCATTGTTCAATACGGTAAAGTTAAACCTCATACACCTATGTTCTTGATGGTCTGTCATTGTCATGCTATCTAAATCAAAACCTGTTATGAAATCACTGAAAATCCAATATGGTGGCCCAATGGTAAGTATGTTTATCCCTTGAGATGGTTTGAGTCAGTGAACAAAAAGTTTCAGGATATCTAAATTAGCATTTAAATTTCTTGCCCAACAATAATGTTCGATAGGAGAGTAAAATGATAATGTTCAAATCACTAAAAAAAACTTCACATATTTTGCGCTCCCATAGCTCACATGCACATTGACGTGGACATGAAACTGCTCCCTTATACTTATGTTTGTATTTATTCAATGGAATTAGTGAGATCAAAAGAAGTATACAATGCAAGCCGACCAGTATATTAAGTAGTAATGTATGTTTATAGTATTGATCCATATAACCTCTCAATCTTTAAAGCAAGTCTGGGGGTACGCCAGTTGCTGTGTAATGTTATTTTTAAATGTATGTTTGTATATGCAGTGCCACACTGTGTAATTAGGATTTATTGAAATGTGTGCAAATGTGTCTAATTAACTACTCTATTCTGAAAACATTCGGATTCTCAGAAAAGAAATTATGCTTTATCCTATGAATAAACTGGCCAATCCACTCTGGTAGTGATGGCATAATGAATGCGTAATATTGTCTGGAATAATCACCCTGTAAAACTACCACAATATCTTGTCGACAGGACAAAGCAATAGGTCGCATGATGTATCTGTAATCTGTATTCCAGTTACTTTTCCTTAGGTAGCAAAGGGGTTTGGTAGATAAAGCCACCGTATGCCTTTACGCTTTCGTCGCCAAAGTTGCGATGTTTGACAGTAGCAACCGTGAAGAGTTCCCAGGGTGTTTGTAGACAAAAATAATGCCATCATTATCCTGCAGAGTAAACCTTGACTCGTCTGTTTAGAAGACTACTGCCCTTGCAAGCCTTGATGCTTGGCTAATGCCAATCCTTCCGTGTATTGAAGCTGGTTTTTTAGTCCGGATTGACCCCACCCTAACACTCCAGTCCCCAAGGCAATTGTATATGCCTCTCCAGAACTAAATAAGCAGCTTCATGACATGGAAGAAGGATTGGCAAGAACCTAGCATCTAGGCCTGCTCTATCTGAAGTTCAAATATTTCCTCACAGTCTGCTTATTCATGTTAGTATGAGTTGCTGAGTCATATGTAGGTCATATGAAGTTTTTTCTCTGTCATTTGCATGGTAACTCTCACATTGAACAATCCCACGGCTTTGAGCTTTAGATTACTATTGTGTGCAATTGGGAGCATGCATGAGACAGTGTGGAAACACCATTATTGAGTGTATTCTGTGCGGCCATATTGCGATAGGTGGATGTATTCGCAAAGTCACTTTGATATTGTGTGGGCAAATGTTCTCAGGGGTGCCAGATTAAAAACGACCAGTGTGTCAATGCTGCTACACCATCGTGCATGACCCATATCTATTTGATGCTAAAATCCAGTGCTCTCAACATTGTTTTAAGAAGTAAATGTTCATGTATAGGTTAAAACCGAACTGTTATCTTTAGTATTAACCTCCAATGACCTATTTAATATATGTATGACGGAATTAGCTGAATGTTGGCTCTTAGGCAAAAATTAGGCTAATATTTGCAACAATCAGACAATCTGTGATTTCAATGATTATAATATATAAGACGGGGATTTATATAATCAATATCATCAGTAAATTATGATAATGCATTTTTCTTTGTATTTACGCGGTATAGATCAACGAGAAATGTTATTGATTTTTTATAGGAGTCAAAACTTGAAAGACGTAATCAATTCAATTACTATCCGACAAGAATTTAAATTATAAAATGCTTGCGATTAACTTTTCTAACACCAGCTATTGGCCATGTGTGCAATCTATTCCTGACTTTTTCAAAGTTTAATAAATAAATGTTGTTGTCCGTTTCCTAAAAAAAAAACAGTAATGATAAAAGTACAGTTTCGTGTGTCTAACAAAATTACTTTTGTTTACCAGTAAAACTACTTCTTCGGTTACAGAGGAAACTGTTGCGACAGTTAATTGTACCAGTTACAATATTGGTTAATGCATTAGACACAATGTCCACGTGATCTATTCGTCAAGTCTTAATATTCGATTGATGAAATTCTGTGGTCAAAATACCTTTTATACAGGAAATCAGTTCAAGTTTACTTTGCAAAACCAGACATTGATTGCTTTTAAATGATATAAGTTGTAAATGCAAATTGATTCTATCTGTCGTTCTGGTTAAGATACATTATCTAGGACTATTTATGTGTGGCCTTGAATACCGCCCATTTGACTATATGTTTTGCATATATACAAGTTATGTTAAAAACACATTGATATTGTGAAGAAATCGTGTCAAGGAATACCATGTACAAAGAAATACTATAATTATTCTTAATGGAATATATTGAGTTGAGCAGAATTACATAATTGATATTAATCTATTCTCTAAAGTTAATCAATTGTTATCTTTGTTGAAGATTTGTACTTTAACGCATTGTATCTCTGGCTCTTGTGGTGGCTCATAGAAACAGAAAAACGTGTTATCTAAGAAAGAATAAAGTCATTGATCTACCAGCAAAACATTAGATTGACAAAACGGGAAATTTAAATATCTAATTTAACTTATTATTTCCCCAAACCGACAAATTAGTATGATTTTGAAAGAAATGTTCTAATTAAAAATTAAATTTAAAATTGCTGACTGGTGAAAATTTAGTCGGGTAATTTCGCCTCGTTGCCATGGAATGAGTTGATAATATCAACCTTGTTTAATGTTCAATTTAAGGCGGTTCTATGATCAAAAACAATTAAGTTCAATAATAACCCCGAAATGTGCACGTACTGTACGCCAATTTAAAGAACCTTGTTTTGAATAATTATAACAATAGATGAACAAACGTCAAAATGGTGGGCCAATAAAAAACGCTCCTGAAGACGCTCGTGAAAAACATTATGGTCATGATACGTAGTAAAAAGCTGAAAGAAGAGAAAGCTTCGTGGTTGGTAGGTGGGTGAGATAGTTGTAATGTGTCGAGGGCCAGCCATCTAAAAATCCCAATTCAACAAAATCTGATTTTTTCAATTTAAATATAGATCTGTATTCATTTCGCTTGTTTCAAGTACCTTACATCGTAATATCGATTCAAATTTAATGGAATATCATAATACAATGCATCGATGAAAATTAAATAACACGTGCCCATAGTATGCGACTACAGTGAATAAGAACAAATCAAAAGCCGTGATTGGCAGATATGAAAAGCTGTTTCTACTGAAGCAAAAATGTCGCAAACGTCCAAACAAGTGCTTTAATTATATTGGTGATTATGCACATGTGCACACTAGCACATGCTAGTTTACTAAGGCATACTTGAGTACAGTGTATGTGAGAATCATTATATCAATGCTGTCATTCGTGATTGTGTGTCAGGGCTTCCTGATAATTAATACGTTAGTGGTCAACGCACAAGGTAAGTCCAACTATAGTAATGTAACAGAATGTAATACGAGCGATGAGACTATGTCAGTGTCTGTACTAAGTTGTGAATTGGTGTACGTGTTATAATTGTATATAATGTCTGACATTATTCATTGGCGTGTGGATATAAAGTGTCAGTGTTCCTACGAATGGGGATTTCGAACGACATTTTATGAGCAGCGTCATGACAAAATTGATTGTTATAAAAGTTCATGAAATGTCACGTTCAATGTGACAATGTAAAACAATGTTTCTTCAATCAGAGTCATTTCTGAACATTAACAGTGTTTAAACAAAAAAATTGGGTATTTGTTTGCACACAAGAAAAAAACCAGTTTACTTGTACAAGATATTATTTTTTCAATAAAATAAATACACTAATGTATGTGGCATGCCTTATGGAGCTATGCTTGTGATTTTCAAAAAAATGTGAAAAGTGCCCAAAAAACTATTCCGCTACCTTAACAAATTTCAATCTCGATGTGACGATTATTCAACACACGCGTTAAAGCAATATCTTGTGTGAACGGAATCTTTCAGACATTCACGTCTCAACATCAATGTTTATATGTAATGAAGAATACCAAACATGCCTAAACATATCCTTATAACATTTCTTACTATATTTACATCAATGTTTAAACAAATGAACAACTTTCAACCCCTATTTGACAAAGTACATCAAACACACGTGTTAAACAATTTTCACAGGACTGAGTCTCAAGCATTTCTAAATATCTTTACATTGGTGTTTACATAAATGAACAGCTTTTAATAAATTCAATCTATTGTGACGAGGTACATTGAACACAGTGTTAAAGCAATAATCCATCAGAACGTAGTCTTAAACTCGTAATGTTAATGTTTAAATAAATAAACAACTTTCAATCTATTTTGACGAAGTACGCCGAATACACGTGTTAATGCAATATTTCATCAGATGGCAGTTTGGGTAGGGTGGTATGGCGAAACGTCATACTGTCTTCCAAGCTGCTAAGTCGAGTATTTTTAAGAGAACGTATTATCTCAGCATTCAAGCTATTATATGACAGATATCATGAACTGGCGATAAATACGACTAACCACCTATGCATATGATAACAGGATTGAGGGACTATGCATGGACCATGATTCTAATGGCACTGCCTTCAACTGTAGCGTCATTCATTCACAAAAGTGTTTTGCAGCTGGATGTCACAGACTTATCATCAGACACGACGACGACGCCATGTATCCCCATCAACGAAACCTGTTTTCATGATTTAACATAAAGAAAGACGCATGTCGAATACGTTGCAATATAATTTTAAATTTTTAGCAGAAGTTACTTCCTAGTTACAACAAATTTATTATTTGTCATTAGCCCAATGTGTTTTTTATATTTACACAGACCCTGATTACTGTTAGGGAGTTAGCCTTATGTAAGATATGGCGCCCTCAGCGTCCATACTGATAACCCGCTTGTTTATACACTTAATGTATGCAGCCTCTTTCTGACCTCTCGGTGTAGAATATAAACATGGCGTCTTAGATATGCTGTCAGTGTTCAGTCACTCGTCTTGTCATTAATTATCTTCAATGAACAGAACCCATAACATGGTGTCAGAAGTGGTGAAGTTTTGGCGAAAATAGTGTGGATCACAGTAGAAAAGCCTGGATTACAACACAGCTACCAAAACGAAGACTATTGAGCAAAGAAAAATACAAGACTGGCAAGTTTGACTCCGTACATGTGTTTGAGCACAGATCGCCGCTATTATTGTTGTGAACAGTTTGACAATATCA